AGTGAATAAACTAGTGAATTAATTTCAGTTTTCCGCACTGGTATGAAAAAGTTTGAGAAACACTGCGCTAGTGGATTGTCAAAGAAAATGTCTATGCAAACGTTATTATTAATAATAATCTTTAAAAAAAATTACCGTAATTTTCGGACTATAAACCGCGCCTTTTTCCCTATTTTTCGACGCTCCGGCTTATATAACGGTGCGGCTAATCTATGGATTTTTACAGCTAACGGCCAACACCTTTAATTCTATGGGCTCTATGGCCGGTCCGCGGACCCCCACCTTTAAGCGGCGGGTTCCAGCAGGAAAGCTGGAGGCCGGAAAGAGTGAGAAAGGTATCGCGCAAAAGTAAAAGTGGAACCGAGAGTGGTGTGCCGCTGCTGCGGCTTATAGTCAGGTGCGCCTTATAGTCCGAAAATTACGGTAATCAATTTTTTTTTATAATTTTTATTTTTTGATTTTCCATTTTTATTTTGTAATCATCTCGCGACCCTCACTCGGGGTCTCGCGACCCAGGGGGTCGCAACCCCCACTTTGGAAACCCCTGCTCTAACGAACACAATGGGGGTCTCTAACAGACACCATGGGGCGTCTGGGGTCTTACAGGGTCTCAGCCTGCTTCTCGGAAAACACCCGGACGCAGAAGTCTCCGTTGAGGTGCGGTTCGAAGGTGGACGGGACGATCAGGTACTCCCCTGGCGGCAGCTTGAAGCGGGTGCTAACCTCCCGCTGGTTGGTGAAAGTCTCGGACTTGGCGGTCTGGGCGTGGGTCAGGAAGAAGTTCTTGTCCAGGTGGACCTCCCTCTGTCCGTAGAACTGGGGGGGGGGGGCAGGTAGAACAGCCAATGAGCATCGTCTTTAAAACCTTTCATCACCTCTAATTTCATATATCAGGTCCTAACCGACACTTCCTGATCATCATCTCTCTAGTCCTTCATCAGGTTTTAAAGATGTCTCACACAGCTCTAATCTGTTATTTTCTAACAGAAGACCTCTTAAATGTTACCCACATAAAACCTGCTGGAACAATTTATCTACAGATGTATTTACTCTTTATGGCATTAATCCTGCCTGCAGCACAGCAGTCAGTAATCTGGACTGTCAAGGACTGTCTTTTCTACGTAACACTACAAACATCTCAACACTTTGTGGTGGTAGTCACTTCTAGTCTGGACTATTGTAACTTCGTATTCTCAGGCGGTCCCAATAAAACTGCAGATGATCCAGAATGCGGCTCCCGACCGTGAGATTCTTTCTTTCACATTAAACCAGATGAGATGTTTGGGTCCAGAGCTCACCTGTTTGGGAAGCTGGAGCAAAACAGAAAACAAGGCAAGGTTACGTTAGGACCGGGATCTGGGGATAAATCTCTGAATCCTTTATATGCTTATTTCTTGATCTCATCATGAAGTGATCAGTTCTCACATCATAGATGGCAAACCCGACGGTGTGCATGTCCTCTCCTTGTTTCCGGAGCTTCCTGCGGTTCTTCTGGATCAGACCGACGACAAAACTGCAGCCCACTTCTCCATCATCCGGGTCGTCGTCCTCCTCCTCCAGCTTGATCACTATCTGAGGATTCATCCAGAACGAGTCTGCATAGGAGAAACCACAGTGAGAACTCTTTAAACCTCCTACTTCCACAAAAATACCCACATCTGATCGAGAGGTGTCAAACCCAACGTTTACAGTGAGAAGGACCACGTCCTGTTACAGTGAGGGGTTAGTCCTGTACTCACAGGGGTTACAGTGAAGAAGGGTGAGTCCTGTACTCACAGGGGTTACAGTGAAGGGCACCAATTCCTTCCTGGAGTTCAAAGACCAAACTAAGGCAATACGCAGGGTTGGCAGCATGTCCTTTACCCCCGCTCCTCAACGACGCCCACCAAACAACTTCAGTTTTATGAGTCAGGAAAGAATGCATAAGAAAGGAGGTGGAGTTGCTATTTTGTTCGATGATTCCCTTCAATGCAGGAAGACATCTTATGGGAACTTTGCTTCTTTTGAATATGTGGCCCTTCAGCTGAAATGCTCCTCTCAAGCTCTGTTCCTAAATATCTATAGACCACCCAAATACTGTGCAAGCTTTTTTGATGACTTTACTGAACTGCTGTCTATAGTGTGTATTGACTTTA